ACAGACTTGTTTGTGCAATGCAGCGAATGATCTAGACTAGGGATGTCAAACTCAGTTCCTGGAGGGCCACAGCCCTACAGAGTTTAGTTCCACACACACACACACACTTGCCTGAAGGACTTGATTAGCTGATCAGGTGTGCTTAAATAGGGTTGAAGCTAAACTCTGCAGGGTTGTGGCCCTCCAGGAACTGAGTTTGACACCCCTGACGTCACTGTTGTGAAGGAATGCATTGGCAAGCTTTCTGACCCTTGGTTTTATTGCAGGTGAACAAGGCAATGGGCACTTAGAAACCAGTGAGGAGATGTTCCGCTCCGGGTTCCACTTGTGCGCCAAGGAGGTTCTTCAGTTCCTGGCCAACCAGGAGACCATGCGCGACCTGACACCCGCTCACATAATCGACCACCTTCAAAAAGTGGCGTCCGAGTTCATTCAAAGCCCGCCGAGCCCTCGTCTGGACGAGCCCGCTCCCAAACCCCAAGAAAGCAGGGAGAAACCGGCAGGCCTGCAGCCCAAAGCGGCAGAGGGCCACGCTAAAAACTGCGTGCCCGTCATTCAAAGGACTTATCCTCACTGCGGCGAGCAGAGCGGGAGTGATACGGATACCGACAGCGGCTACGGAGGCGAGCTCGAGAAGCGGGACCCGAAGGCCCAGCTGTCGGCCTACTACGGCAAAGACGCTGGGGATCTCAAGTATGGCGGCAGCATCAAAGAGGAGATGGATGAGCCACAGGCCAAGCGGCAGAGGTCCGACTCTTCGGAAGACGAGTCTCTGTCAGGGCATGAAATAGTGGGCGGCCACAGCCCCTACATGAGCTTTTCTCCACACCAACCCCTGTGCATGCCCTTCTACCTCTTGCCATCTGGTGCGGCCGCAGCGTACCTGCCCATGCTGGAGAAGTGTTGGTACCCGGGAGCCATGCCTGTGTTGTACCCAGGCCTCAGCGGCTCCCCGGCGGGCATGTCTCCAGAAAAGCTCCCTTCATCCTTGGCCATGTCCTCAAGAGTGAGCTCCCCCGCAAGCCCTCCCACCTCCATGGACTCTCCTGCGCTCCTGCAGGCCCTGAAACAAGTCCCCCCGTTAAACCTGGAAACCAAAGACTGAGGACTGGCTCTGGGGTCGGCCAACAGCCCGCTCTCTGAATGTTTTGGTCTCGAGAGTGGACGTCCCTGCTGAATAAGCTCCCGAAGAGGGTTCTGTTGAAGAGGGCGCAAAGACAACAGTTCAAAGCGCCCTCAAACACGGCAAACAGCTGTTCTGATTCCTCTCAGAAGTACGACGGCCTCCCTCCAACCGCAGAGACACGCACACATACACACTCGCACACTCTTATCAGCTCCCTCAACAGCCAGCAGACGTGGACGCAGACGGGTGAAGGAGGAAAGCACTGTGAGACACTGTGAAGAAGGTCAAAGCAAGGACAGTGAGCACTGTCCTTCCAGAAACAGGACCTGGGGCGGGCGAACGGCTGCACTCTGCACTTGTGCCGAATGTTTGAGTCGAAAACAATAACCCAGAATGTGACGTGCAGACGGTCCCCCAACCATAAAGACTTTGCCCTTTGCACAAGCACCTTTTCATTTGTTGAATGTAAACAAAACGTCCTTTTTTTAATAAAACATCACCCCTGTAGATGCTGCTTCTTTTGGACATTTCTCTGTGCCGTGGACGCTTGATCAGGAAGCTCCACTCTCTTCTGCTTCTGTGACTGCGTTAACCGAAAAGAACCGTCCTTTTAGACTAGAATGCTACCAAATAAATGTCTTTGCTTTGGCTGAGAGGAGCCCAGGCGCGTGCACGCTTCCCATGTCCTTGCATAAACGAGGATGCCATCGACTCCCGAGAGGTGGCGCTCGTGTAAATACGGGAGTGATGTAACCATGGTTCCGCGGTAGCTTTCGAGTTTGTCATCCATCCGTGCACGTAGGTGAAGTTGTCGTGAGGTTCTGCGCCCTGTAATTATTTTGTTTATACTACTTGTACATCTGTATTTTTGATACACGACCCACACATTTATGTTGGCGAGTTTTAGACAGCCGAGTGATGTATGCCATGAGATTGTGTACATAGCTTTTTGGACCTAGACTCGATCTGCATCATGTTCTGTGTTCATTTCTGGTCAAATTAGGACAGATCTTTGTTCATGCTGTTGCCTTTACCTGTTTAAAGCAGTAAACATGATGGCGGATATCTACATTTTTAATCCTGGATTCAACATAGAAGCAAAAGAAAGTGAATGTAATGTTTAAAACGATATATTAGTTTTGTATAGGAAGAGGTACTTACTTTTTATTTTGGGACCTAAGAAAAGGTTGTTTGATGTATATATTTTGTCTAAAGTATTGTTGACATACAGTAAAGAAAAAGTATTAATAAAGTTTTTTTTCCTGTGGAAACTATGTGTCTGAGTGTGTGTTGGAGAGCTAAGAACATGTTTAGTTGGGAAAACAACCTCTCTGTTTTTCCCATCATCACAGTTCGCCTTTATATAACACTTACATAACCCATAAACTTGATTTGTCTATGCAAATCCTTTAGATACACAATACGATAAAGAGTCAGGTCACAAATATTGCTCCTAACTAAAGTCCACGAATCTGTCGATAACAAAAAACGTCAGGTTATGCGAGGCATTTTTTTCTACTAGATTAGAAGACCGTGACGTATATAACCCCCCAAAATTAGCAAAGAACATAATCGTTTATTATTATTATTATTTGTCTTTGCAGGCGATTAACATACTTAGATGAACCACGTCCATTCCTAATGTTGCTCGTTATCTGTTGAAATAGGCTAGTCTTCCCGCGTGTCTGGCTGTGTGTGTGTGTGCTCGATCCAGTGCAGTTTCCCTCCGCCGCCCCGCTGGGATGTGAATAGGCAGCGGAGTAATAATCACACACACTGGGCCTCACATGTAGAGCCACACGGCACTGAAGCAAGAGCACAGCAGCACACACACACACGCCACACATCCTCACAGCGGTCATGGCAGGACAACAACACGTTTCAGCATCGTGGGACAACAACAAAAAGTATTATGTGTTGTCTGTAAATGAGTAAAGTTTTCTGTAAGTGATATGATTAGTTATCATCGATATTAATGTTTTAAGAGGTAACTTAGGCTATAAAGTATTGTTAGTTGTTACCTATCTTTAGTCAATTTGATTGGGGTAGGATAAAGATGCCCCCTTAAGAACAAAGTGGATTTACCTTTGAATTGTAAGATATTTAGCTATAAGTTTAGCATGTGCAGGACGATGACGCATATAAAAGCCAATGTGTTATTATTATAAAAAATAAAAAAAATAGAAACATTTGCTAATTTTGTTCTTTTGTTAAATCAACTTAGATAATTTATGTAGTTCAGATATAATATTATACTATTATATTATTCAGATATAATATATAACATAATATTTCGAGTTTCTGATGATTAAATTAATCTCCTTCATTGTATTAACTCAATTTTTCCATTTCAATTAACTTAAAATTTTTAGGCAACCAGGTTACTTTTTTAAGTTAAACCAACAATATTTGTTTACAGTGTAGTATTAATATTTATATATATTGTGTAATTAATGTAAAAGAGCAAATAAACTGTTGTATTTAAGTTTTTATTTTGACAATTGAATTGCGAAGACAGACAAAGCAGAATACCAAAAGAGATTTATTAGCCTATTCTATGATTTATTATTCTATACCCAAAATTAAATGAAGATAATAGCAACACGATGAATGCAAATTTAAAGATTTCACCCTACTAACATATGTTTTAATGAAAGTTAAGATTTTAATTCATGAAAATACTGAAAATTAACCCCATTAATTACAACTTAGGGTGTTATTATTCGAGGGTTATTATTGATATTACTTCAAAATAAAAACTTTCAAAAACTTACTTTCACCCAAAATGTGTGTCCACAAATCCCTCATTAACCAATAGACACAAAAATATATTTAATAGAATGTCATGTATCCCTATTTTCCAGAGACACGGAATTAGATCACTTAACATTAAGAAGACATTCATCAAAAGTGCTGAGATAAGATTTTGTTTCATCTCTGGTCAGGAGAAAAAAATAAAGTGAGGGATTCAAAAGAATTCAAAAAAGCAATATGATTTGTTTCTCAAACAAACAGACAAACAAACAAACAAACAAACAAACAAACAAACAGTTACAAAATAACATTTATAAAATAACAACGCAATAGATAACCGTACAACAGTGGAAATGTTTTCAGTAAACAACGTTATTTATTTTACATATTTATGCTGCTTGCAGGATGTATGCGGTCATGTTACGACATGACGAAAGAAGGTCTCATCCCCCTATTATAAAGCTTTTAGCGCCATCGCGTGGAATATCAATGAACTTCAATGAACCTCTTTTTACATATTTACATGTTTTTACAGTATTTATTCCATGGACTGTAAAAAAGATTTATTCACAATGTTTACGGTCCTCATGTGAGATGAGACTTTAGCGTCTCAATTTATACATTTGTTTAACTCTTGTATATACCCAATTATTTTACTTAATTTTACTTTTACTTCACTTTACGTGTTAATTTATATCTTGTTTTAATTTATTATTTAATATATATATATATATATATATATATAATGTTTATAAATATAATAATGCATTTGTATGAATAATGGTTATACGTTTAATGTAATGCATTTAATTAATATATGTATGTATTTATTTATTTGTTTCATAAATAAATATTTTTTTTTTATTTTGATTATTTATCCGACAGTCCAAAACAAAGATTACTTTATTAAATACATGTTGTCAATAAATAAATTATGTTTTCTGCTAACAAAGAAATACAAAGTTTTCCAAATGTTTATTTGCTTGTTTTCTTTCTTGTTACTTTTAAGCAAACACTTCAAAGTGTCCATCAACACAACTCGAGTTTTCGCGGACTTTTATTCTGAAAGATTTCCACATTGTTGCCGACAGCAACGCGTTTATTGTGCGTCAGTAGTTGTCACATGACCCCCCCAGCCGCTTCCTCTTTCTCCTCGATTGCCTCCAGCAGGAACGGAATCTGCCCTGCATCATCCTGACCGTAGAGCAGCTCATCCAGCAGCACAGAGCAGAGATGATGGCACTCATCCACCGGCTCATGGACTGGTTCAGGTCGCTCTTCTGGAAGGAGGAGATGGAGCTGACGCTGGTGGGACTGCAGTACTCTGGAAAAACCACTTTTGTCAACGTTATCGCTGTAAGTCCAGTTTAATTCCTAATTTTGAACACTGAAGCTTGACTGAGCTGTTTATGTTATTGTTGTCATGTCATAGTCTGACAGGGGGCGCAGAACAGTGGCGTTTAAGCCTTTTTATATGAGTAATTAGGAATATGGGTGTGATTTTTTTTTTTTTTTTTTTTTGACGTTTTGACGTGATTGAATGACGTTTTAGATTGTACATGAAATATAAATTTCAAACCTGTTCTAGTTTCTCCATGTTTGAAGATGACTTTTAGGGTGGATGGATGAGATTCCAATGGTGTGCTTTAGTGTTTAAGTTTAAATCGGATGTAAACAAATTCATACATAATGTAAGCTACCACAAAGTGAGACATGTAAATGAGGAATTATGGCTTTGTTTCCATGTTGACGTTGGTCCACAATCTCTTTTTGATTTCCTTCATAGATAATTATGTGATCAATCACTGCTGAAAACAATCCTGCCTTTCTGGAAGCTCCTTGTGGTTTTGAATTTGAATACCCGATTGTAAGTTTGTGACACTAAGATGTCACAATAATGTTTTATTTGAATGCAAGTGGAGCATTGCATCTTATTAAAACATAAACCTGGAAACAACCTTGGTGTGGCCTGTATTTGGAAAGGTCTCGGAGGACAGCAGACTGAATCTGTCTTCACTGGGGGTTCGTAAAAAAAAGAAAAGTGGGCTTTTTTCAAAATTTCTGCAATGCAGCACAATGAGTTTACAAAAGCCAGGGTTTCTAAGTTCACTTTACTTTCACAACTCCACATGATGGTCCGAATTCAAAGAGGAAAAGAGAAACATCTCTTCCGTTTTCAACATCTCGCACTCGCAGGTGTCATTCTAGTTTCAGAGAACGATTTAGGCCTATGAGTTGTTCATTTAACCCATTTTTTCTTTCTTTCAGTAATTCCTCACTCATAAATGTGAACCAATTAAGTTTCATACTTAATTGTAATTGTAACACTTAAGTGTTATGTAATATGACCTTCAAGTTAGCTAAGCTCTTTTAGATTTCTATATTTAATGAGGTTTTGCAATATCTCGCTCCATGAATAGCTATGGTCATATTTTAAAAGGAAAGATCTTGCTTTCCCCTTTTCACACAAAAGAGATCTGTTTGTGAGACATGAAATCTCTTGAGACACATGGTGAATCCAATCATTTTGCTCTTTTGCACAATTTACTAAATCATGTGACATGACGCTCTCTGGCCTGTGATACCAAAAATTCCCATTACGGTCACTAAAAATACCCATGAGTTTCTGAATTGTAATCTTGACTTCCTCTTGTGTGTGTTATTTTGTGAAATGTCGGACTATTAGATTGTCATTTTGTAAATCTTCGCATCCCTTCACGTGTAAATTTGTTTTATCCATTTAATAGTAACGATCTACGTGTTTATTTCCCATAAGTCTGGTCAGTTCAACGAAGACATGATCCCTACGGTCGGCTTCAACATGAGGAAAGTCACCAAAGGCAACGTAACCATAAAGGTTTGTCTCCTCTGTGCCAATTATCAAGGGTGGTTTTGTTGAATCCAGTTTTACACACTTTCATACACATCATATTCAATTATATAGTTACATCACCAATGCCTGCAATCATGCCCAACCCTGTAGCAAAAATGTGTTGTTCTCATGTAGATTTGGGATATAGGCGGGCAGCCGCGGTTCAGGAGCATGTGGGAACGATACTGTCGGGGCGTCAACGCCATTGTGTGAGTATAATTTGCTGTCTGTTCCCTCAGACACTTTTAATATGTTTATACTACCCTCTGCGATACTTGGTTCTGATTGGTCAGTGGCATTGAGCAGTTAGGTATGTTTGTTTAATGACCACTAAATTGTATCTAGGAGCTAGATGAGAGAGAACTTCTAATTAGGCATATTATATTGTTGCTAAATATTCTTTGCTGGTCAGTCCATAGAAAATGGTTACTAAATACTAATATTGTATTTATTTGATCAAAAATACAGTAAAAACAGTAATGTTGTGAAATATTATTAGGAAATGTATAGTTAGTTGGCTAATTTTGGCACATTTACAGTCTCCAGTCCTCAGTGTCACGTGATCCTTCAGAAATCATTCTAATAGGCTGATTTGCTGCTCAAGAAACATTTCGTGTCTATTTATGTATTTATTTGTGAAGTAGCTGTGTAAGTGGGATAATGTAGTCAACTGGTCATTAATTACAAAATAAATTGGGACTGCTGTGCTTTGTCCTGATCACCCAGTCAAGATCTATTTAGCAATAATGACTGGCTAACTGTATATAATCCCTTATATAAAGTGTTAGTGTTTACATTACTGTTATATTATCAAGGCTCATTAATGAACTGTTGGTGTTTTCAGGTACATGGTGGATGCTGCTGATAGTGAAAAGGTGGAAGCCTCCAGAAACGAGCTACACAACTTGTTAGACAAACCACAACTGCAAGGCATTCCTGTAAGAGAATTATAGTAGAATTTGATTAATTTTTCTAATAATAATTGTATTATTGTAACGGATCATTTCCCCTGTGGTGTTAATGGAAGACTGTCTGTGTTATTAATACTTCCTGCTGGATTTACCAAAACGGCAGGAACTCAAGCCTATCCATCGCACCACACCTTGTCCAGATTTTTCCATTGCTGCTGTGTTGTATTTAAAGAGCATGACTAAGCATCTGTCAGCTCCTGTGGTCCGAGATGTCCTCACTGGAGGAAACAGTTCGCTCATTGATTATCTGTCTGTAGGGAGTGATGGGACGGCTACCGTTTGCTAAAGCCAACCATTTAAAAAGACAGCTTTAGCACGATCTGATGTATGAGCAACACCCAAATACATAAATCTTTAAGCACTGAAAGCAAAACTGCCAATGTGAAACATGGAGTTTAAATCTAAAGACAATTTAAGAGGTGCGTTGTGTGTGATTTATTCTTACTTTATCCTTCACAGGTACTTGTCCTTGGCAACAAAAGAGACATCCCTATTGCACTAGACGAGAAACAACTCATCGAAAAGATGTAAGCTGCATTATTTGATCTTTCTTCACGCTATTCCTTGACTAATACGTTTGGGGTAATGAGAGTGAGAGATTCATTTAGTGTTTCCTGCTTTATACAGACCCATATATTACGCGACCGTTGTGTACTGGAAGTAAAAACTCATTCATTTTCTCCATAGGGAAATTGACTTTGAACAATAATATAAGCCTTTAAAGACAGACCTACTGTGAGTGATGAGGTTGTTGTTAATTGATGGTATTTGCTTTTACTGAAGACGTCAGCCCATTTACTGTCAGCGGAATTCCTGGTGGAAAAACTACATTACCCATGATGCTGTACAGGAAATTACACCAATCAGAAAGCTAAATAGACGGGTGACCAACTGTCCTGTTTTCCCAGGACATGTCCTGTTTTCATATAACAATATAACAATTTTCTATCCATACAGAGGAGGCATAACCTACTTCAAATGTATTGAAATTAATAAGGTATCTTTGAGTAAACTTCGAGTATCATTTGAGTTGGCCCATGTGTTTGCTGGGCCGAGTGTCCTGGATTTTGGTAATCAAAAATATGATCACCCTAAAATAGAGTGCCGAAGTTATGACATCACTTTGTAGGCCAAAATGTGGAAGTGAGTAGGCATTTTAGCACTCCCGGTTCCCTCGCTCTGAAGTCTATGGGTTTTTGCTAAATCGCCTGAAATAAGGTCTGTGGTGAACAAAGCCTCTAAATATTTTCACGTTTTTAACTGTGACATAAAACACGTTTTTTTTTTTACTTTATTGTGTCTGCTTGTGTTTATTTTTTTACTTTATATAGGCTTCAAAATGTATACATTTTGGATTAACTTGTAAAGATTATCTTGATAGACAAAACGTGTAAGGATCACAACACAACTATTTTTTTGCGATTTTCCTAGAGTCTATGGGGAAAATGACTCTTGCTCACTCTATTGCTCTTCAGCAATTTTCTGAACTCTGTTGGCACTCTATTGCTCTTCAGCTCTGCCCATTCCCATGAAGCACTGCAAATGACGCAATCTCTCTATGCTCAAAATACTGAAATGTTTGTATTTTTATGCATATTTTGCATGGTTTTGATGGGATTTCATGGGATTGTGGTTCTTTCCCTCACTAAAGCCATTATGTACACATTCTCGAACCCCTGTCCTATTGTCATAGCCGATTTTCAAAAACTTTTTCGCTCCAAATCAATGTTTTTAATGTTGGGATTCACCTTGTAAAAGGGGGTGGGCACTGTTGCACAACCCTGTCATATGATCTCTGGATACTTTTGACTGTAATGGAGTTTTTTTTTTTTTTACTTTAGTAACACTGCGTCGCCTTTCTCTTTTTAGACTCATTTTTTTTGTTATTGAGTGGTGGTTCTGGGATTTTGTGACATTTCCACAATATACCTTTACAAAAAGTTCCTGTGAGGCTACTCTCAAATGTTGTTTCCTTTTCTGCAGGAACCTGTCTGCGATTCAAGACCGAGAGATCTGCTGCTACTCCATTTCATGCAAAGAGAAAGACAATATAGGTGAGAGTTACTGCATTTTATACACCTGCAAATGTGAAACTGTGACAACTGGTCAAAAAAAATATTTTTAGATTTTGTCCAAAGGTTCAATAAACTTCCATTAAAAAACCAAATTACTTGTAAAAATGCGGGTGAGAAAGGCACAAAGAACATTGTGCGTTCAGAACTGGAAAAAAAGAAAGGTCTTATATAGTTCAACTATATTTACAATATTGAATCAAATGACTCACAAACCATCTTACTGTGACTCATTCAGACTCAGATGTTGAATGACCAAATAACCTTATACACTGCATGGTTGAGAGCATAGTGCGTAAGTGTATAGTGTGTCATTTGAGCTTTAGTTTAGGTTGGGAGAGGATGTGAAGTGCATCAGGAAATATTATATAATCGTCATAATTGTTCATTTCTTCCTCTTCCTGCAGATATCACATTGCAGTGGTTGATCCAGCATTCAAAATCTCGGAGAAGTTGAGATCAATCCTACCCATAACCCCAGCTCCTCATCAGAGCGACGCATCTGTCTATCCAGTAGCATTCATTCTCTATTACACAGACTGTCAGTAACACATCCTCACCCGTGGGCCTCTGTCTCCACTCAACTCATGATGTGCTACCATTCGGCCTGTTTTGTTGGCTGAGTGGATTTTACTTTACTTTGACCTAATCTTCTTTTGACCATTGACAAAGCAATATAGCTTATATCTGCTTTGGAATTGGCCCCCTTTCCCTGTGAAATAAGTTTAGACAGCTGCTTGTATTATTTTGTATAATTTATTGCGCGAAATAATTTTTACTCCCTCTAGTGAAGTCAAAGGGTGGTTCGAACGGACATTTTAGAAGCTAGTATTGTGCATTTAGAGCTTCAGTGCATTTTTAATGTACACTACCATTCAAAAGTTTGGGGTCAGTAAGAATTTTAAGGAATTAATCATTTTACTCAGCAAGGACACTTTAAATTGATCAAATCTACAGTATGTTGCGGAATATTTCGGTTTCAAATTAATGCTGTTCTTTTGAACTTTCTATTCATCAAAAAGTCCTGAAATAAAAATGTGTCACAGTTTCCTCAAAAATGTTAAGTAGCACAACTATTTTTAACATTCATAATAATACGAAATGTTTCTTGAACAGTAAATCTGCATATTAGAATGATTTCTGAAGGATCATGTGACATTGAAGACTGGAGTAATGATGCTGAAAATACAGCTTTGCATCACAGGAATAAATTACATTTAAAAATACAGAAAAATAGAAGTCAGTTATTTAAAATTGTAATATTATTTAATATTAATAATTTAATAATATAATTAATTAATATAAAAATTATATTTAATATAATAATATATTTTTTAATTTTTTTCTAAATCATAATCAAAATCATAAATGCAGCCTTGTTGAGCATAACCGACTTCTTTCAAAAAAAAAAAAAAAAAAAATCTTCCAGACCCCACATTTTTTAATGGTAGTGTACTTTTAGTTGATGTTTTTCCTTAAATCCATGTGCAGAGTAACTTATATTTGCCTTTCAGCAATTCAAGGAGTTCTTCCGGCTTATTATCACATAATTAATATTTATCAAGTTTTATAATAACTCGCCTCACGTTTCAGATTGTCTCAACGGCTCTGTCTAAATCTTTTCCTATTTGAGACTCATTACAATAACAAAACCCTGCTCATTAATATTCATGACCTACAGCTCATGGACAAGCTTCACACACAGTAGCCTTGAGCGTGAAACATCTCAATTCTTCTAATGGGATAAAGTGTATGGCTGATGGTCATCTCGCCATTTACATTAATTAGTGAGCATTAAGTTAAGTGCCTTCTGCAAATACTCACATTTATTACTGCCCAGAATGGATATAGTGTTATATAACCACGAACTCCATTATTATCAACTTATTCATAATTACTCATATTCATTTAATGGCCGTCTTCATTGTCTATGTCTACACATACATACATGTTAGGACTCCAATCATTACATAATTATCTGATTGCTTCAGTAGCCTACTGGTTAACATAGTTTTGTTGTTGATCTTTTATTTGTTGTTTTATCAAGTCCCTAAAGGTTGCGAATATATCCTGTCTTGTAAATATAAGTTTTATAGCAGCTAAAACAACACTGCAGTTGTCTTCTGCTATAAAATGTTATTATTTATGACTTAATAGTGACTCCCTGACTATTAGCTGCATGATTCGGTGGAGTAATTTTCCGCCAACACGTTGCTTGACGACTTTCTGCTGTAGCTTTCAGACTGTTCTTGCGTCTCTAATCTACCTCAGAGGTGTCAGGAGTTTTCACAGGATAAAAATAGAAATAAGGTAATTGCAACCTTTTATCTCACAATTCAGACTTTTTTTCTGAGTTTATATCCTGCAATGCTGACTTATAAATAAATTGTGAAATATAAACACGCAGTTGCAGGTTATAAAGTCTGAATTGCAAGATATAAACTGAAATGTGAGAGAAAAAGTTTCAATCAGCTTTTTTATGTTTTATTCTGTGGTAGAAACAGTGTTGTTTTATGAAGCAGGCCTTAAGATTTCTTCGTATCTTGTGTTGACCCTCGGATTATATCTTAAAGATATTTGTTGTTTTTTGTATAATTGATGAATCTGCCCAAAAAATTTAGGATTTAACCGAGGACAAAGCTTTAGTTGTGCTGCCATAAAAATGCCTGATAGATGCATTGATTGCTGACGCTTTAACATTAAATACAGATATGGTTCATCCAAATACTAGTTGGTGAATACACATATTAATAAGCTGTAATGATTTTTTGGAGATTTTTCTTAGAGGAATAATTCAAAATAGGCAGGACTGAGTCAGTTATGATATTATAATTTAATTAGGGCTGTCAAACGATTAATCGTGATTAATCGCATCCAAAATAAAAGTTTGTGTTTACATAATATATGTGGGTGCACTGTGTATAATTATTATATATATAAATACACACACATGCTTGTATATATTTTTAGAAATATTTGTATATGCTGTATATAGATTTATATATAATTTATATTATATATAAATATAAATATTTTATATATAAATAACTTTTTTTTCTTAAATATACATGAATGTGTGTGGATTTTATATATATATATATATATACAAAATAATTATACACAGTGCACCCACATATGTTATGTAAACACAAACTTTTATTTTGGATGCGATTAATCATTTGACAGCCCTGTTTGTTCAAGATTGAATGATGTTGAATCAGTTTATAAAGGGCTTTAATATATGCCACATACTTTCCCCCCTATTTTCTAATCAGCTGTCTCACATGAGTGCCCAGAAATGAGACATTTTGTATTTAATCACTTTTTAATTCCTAAAGTACATTAATGTTTGCTGAGTCATTCCTGCAGTCTTGTAATGGAAACGAATGGAGGTCAGGCTTTCACCGGTTACATTTCTCTCTTCATCTGTGCATTCATTCATTCAGACATGATGTGCTGTCGGTACTCACTCGAAGCAGCAGGTCTGTGGGCAATGCTTGTTTCCTCGTGTTATTATCTCTGTGCAGCACTGTATAGAATAGTGTCCTCTCTTCTTTGTGTGACTATCTGTATCCACACATAAAACCAGTGGATCTGTTGCTGACTTTGTATATAAGAAAATGCAAAACTTATTTGTTTTGCAGTGTGTTCTTATTTGTGTCTCCTGCATATTTTTTTTGTTTTGTTTTGTGATCGCTCAATAAATTGTTTTTTTTTTTAGGGTGCCTGTAAGTGCATTTTGTCATTTTGTACTGTTGTATTTGTCAAGAAGAAGTTGAGAATGATTGGTTGCCTCCCCTTTTCCCTTACATTTTTACAACAATTGTGATGTCATTAAAACTTGAATAACAATATGGCCATTCAGTAAATGCTAAACGAAAATATAGCGTTTGAATTTCTTTGTCTTCATGAAATGGAAGTTGTGATAGTCTCTTCTTCCCTATTGTAACAGCTGAGTGAAACTCAAGGAAAAAAAAATGTAGGGCGGGACTTGATTTTGTCCATTGGGAATTGATTGGATGGTTGTGATTGCTATTGGCGTGATGTCGTGTGAGTGTCAGGTCCGCCCCAGCACAAGTAAACAGGTCATCAGAGTTCGACATTTTGCTGCAAAAAGAGTTATTTTGATTAAAGATTATGAGGGCACATGAATAAAAGACTGCAATATTCCATAAATATTAAGAATCGCCCATTTTGATTTCATGGTGGCTTAAAAACGTACCATTCTTTGTCTAGAACTCCATGTATTTTTTCCTGTGATGCTGTTTAAACACTATAAGGAGCTCACACGCAGAGCACTGTTCCTGCTTCAAGTATAAAAACATATTACAACAAAATTAATTTTACAAATGTACACGCGTTTTAAATATCATACGAATAAATATATAACAGACTTATTTATATTAAGATTGAAAATAACGATTTGATCATTAGTATTAATATTATTATGAACTTGAACCGACTATATATATATTTTTTTTAAAAAAATTGTAATTCTCTGGTCGTCAATGTGTTGTTGCAGTGCGTAAAGAGGCCGCATGGTGGCAACAGAGGGCCATGTAGAGTCTGCGTGAGGTCGTTTACCAACCAGGTGCGTGTCAGCTTTCAAATCCCTTTCTTTTATCTTAAAAGCATGGCAAAGTGAAGTATCTAATCATATATAACAAATTACTGTTAATTTATCGAAATATACATCAGGGAGATACTGTTGTGATCCTTATAGTATCTTTACAGCACCTTTTGTGTGTGTGTAAAGAGACTCCATAGAACATTACCCAGCCATTCTGGTAAATTCACTCATGAGAAACACTGAACATAGTAGATAAAAACACTTTGAAAGGCTCTCTTAAGCTTTTTATTTGACTATTGCTGATCTGTTTGTAGCCTTTACTGTAAACAGTGAATACAAGGTTATATGTTCCATCACACACAGTAAAGTCCACTGTTGACTGTTAAAGTCACCATGAAATCAAAATGGACAATTCTTGTTTTTTTTTTTTTTTTAATGAAATATTGCAGTGTTTGTTGTAAATGATTTATCCACGCACAATAACTTAATCAAAATAACTTCCCCTTCCTCTTGCAGCGACATCTTTTCTCCGACAACATGTTTAATGACGCGAGGGCGGGACAACCTGTCACTCACACGCATCCACCAATAAAAAAAAAACACAACCATCCAATCAAATCCCAATGGAAAAGATATACGTCACAATAGGGAAGAAAAGACTATCGCAACTCCCGACTTTAAAAATGAAGTCTTGCAGTGAAAATCATGTGTTCGGTAGTCCTTTAATTTGATTGGCCTTCTCTATCATTTTGACATTGACGAGCGCTGTGCTGAGGAAGTTACAGCAGTCTTCTCGTCCCTATTGTTGACGTACTGTATATCCATGTGAAACAGCTTTTAGCTTTTTGTGAAACAAAAATTTAGGGCGGGACTTGGTTGTGATGTGAGAGACAGGTTGCCCCGTCCCTTATTCATTTGCTGAATTCGAAACTCTTACTTTTACAATATCTTTCTATGACAATAATAGTAGGAGTAGAATACGGCTCCGAATTCACCAAGTGTACTGGGCATAAGAATAAGACTGAATGTTTTCATGTGTCACATTGACGTCTTGTAGCTCAAATCCAAACTACAGCTGGTCTTATTTAAAACGGCTCTCTGTATCATGCCAGACTTTAATGTAGCAATATAAAACAACAGGCTTTCACATATGAGCCCTGCCAAATCAATTTCTGCTTTTCATTCAACACAATAAAATATTTAAAGGAACATTTGAATTTCGTTCATCAAGACTAATAAATCAAGAAGGTGTTTTGAGAGGTTGTTTTGGGTCCGGAGGCATTAGCGTGTTTCTTAAGTACCTGGCCTCAGTGCTGCGGTTTCCAGACACCAAACAAGATATTTCATCCATTTATTATGTCAAAACTTATGAAGGTCAAATACAGACACCTTACAAGAGGTAAAAACGATATAAATACTGTTCGTTTTCTCACACAAACCG